GAGACACACAGGTTTGGGGGGGAGTCCGGGAGGATGGGAGGATCCAGGAGTTTGGGGTGGACCCACAGATCTGGAAGGAACCCCAGGGTTCAGGACAAGGGCACAGGGGTTTGGAGGATGACCCAAGGGGGTCAGGGGAAACCCACATGTTTGGGGAGGGGTCAGACACCTGAGGGAAGTCCCGGGGGCTCGGGGGGAACCAGGAGGACCCACAGGTTTTGGAGAGTACCCAGATGTATGGGGAGAACCCAGGGGGATGGAGGACCCACATGTTTGCAGGAGGCCCTAGGTTTTTGGACTGGACCCAGGGGATAAGGGGACTGGGAGGGGATAGCGGTTCAGGTGGAGAACCCCAGGGTTTTGGAAGGGCCCCGGGGGTGCAGGGGTACCCACGTACCAGGCAGGAAGGCCTCGGGTTGCTGCCAGATGACAGGGTCCTGCTGGGCTGCCAGCAGGTTGGGGACCAGGATGGTGCCAGCCACTATGGGGAGCCCTCCGAGGCTGGGGGGGACAGGGGGTCACTGAGATGGACTGAGATCTGCTGGGGGCTTTGCTGAGGGCTACTGAGAGCTACTGGGGCCATACTGGGACCTGCTGGTGCCATAGTGGAACCTACTGAGGCCACACAGGGACCTGCTGGGGCTATGCTGGGGCTATACTGGGGCTCTCTGGGATCTACTGGATGTCTACAGGGTCCATACTGGAATCTGCTAGGGGCTACTGGGAGCTCTTGAGTGTCTATTGGGGTCTACTGGGGTCATACAGAGACCTGCTGGGGCTATACTGGGGTTCTCTGGGGTCTACTGGTACTCTTTGGGGGTTACTGGATGCTTATTGAGGTCTAATGGGGCCACATTCAGACTTACTGGGGCCTTACTGGGACCTTCTGCTGGAATCTTCTGGGCTCTGATGGGGACTACTGGGATCTACTGGGTGTCTCTTAGGGTCTACTGCAGTCTGCTGGGACCAATTGGGGCCTACTGGGACGTACTGGGGTCATACTGGGGCCTACTGGGGCCGTACTGAGACCTGATGGGTCTTACTAGAATTTATTGGGGTCTACTGGGCGGTACTGGGATCTACTGGGATTTACTAGGTTCTGCTGGGGTCTGCTAGGTTCTACTGGGATTTACTGGATTCTCCTGGACTCTACTGGTGACGCTGAGTAGTCCCTATTGGTATGTAGTGATTCCTCCCAGTTCCCCCTCATCCATACTGGTCCTGACTGGATTCCCCTGGGCCCTACTGGGACTTACTGGGACCTACTGGGCCCTAAAAGGACTTACTGAGCCATACTGGTCTATTGGCATCTACTGGGGTTTACTGGGGCCCTGCTGGGGTCTACTGGGCCCTTCTGGGCCCTGCTGAGAGTAACAGGGACCTGATGGATCTGTTTGGGTCTACTGGGGCCATACTGGGACCTAATGGGTCTTACTGGGCTCTGCTGTGGTCTAGTGGGTCCTACTGGGACTTACTGGGGTCTACTGGGCCCTACTGGGTTCTCCTGGACCCTATTGATGATGTCAAGTGGTCCCTACTTGTCTGTAGTGGTTCCTCCCAGCCCCCCTCCTTACACTGGCCATTCTCATCCTGTACTGGTCTGTACCTGGTGTGGCGCAGGGCACAGTGAGGCAGCCCCAGGGGTGCGGGAGGCCGCAGCCGCAGGGTCTCACTGACGGTGGCCTGAAGGAGGGGCAGGCGTCCCGTGTCCCCTGGCCCGGGGGGACCCTGTAGCCCCCTGAGCTCCGCCCGCAGCCGCGCCTGCAGCTGCACAGGTGAGACACAGGTGTGCACAGGTGTGTCATGTCTGTCACAGGGTGTTGAGGGAGGGGGCACCCAGTGGCAATGGGGTGACAGAGGGACCCTCCTGAACCCCAGACCCTCTCAAACTTGTCCCTGGGACTCCAAGTCCTCCAAAGCCTCCCCCTGCTTCGGGGATCCCCATGAACCCCCAGACCCCCCAAACCTGCTCCTGTGACCCCAAAATGTTCCCAAACCTGCCCCTCTCTCAGTCTTGGGGACCCCACAAGCCCCCAGGCCCTGCCCAAGCCCCCAAACCTGCCCTGGAACCTCCAGACCCCACCTCCAAACCTGCCTCTCCCTCTGCCTTGGAGATGCCCCCACCAAACATCAGAGACCCCTGAACCCCCAGACCTGCCCCTTGGGACTCTCCCTCCCCAGATCCTAAGCCGCCCCTCCATGGAAACCCCAAACCAAGGAACCACATAGGGACACAGACACAGCTGTGACACGGCTGTGATATGTGTGTGGCATCTCAGGCCTAGAGGACAGTGGTGGCCACAAGGTACACATGGGACACATGTGACCCACCCAGGGACATGCATTGGGGCTTGGACATGGTTGTGACATGTGTCACATGGCTGTGACATGTGTGACATGTGTGTCACCTCAGGGCGGTGCAGCAGGAAGGCCACAGCCCAGCCCAGTGCAGCCGCTGTCGTCTCGGTGCCCCCGATGAACAGGTCAACCAGCGCCATGTGCAGCCGGAGGGGGCTCAGGGGAGCCCCCTGCACTCCGGGATCACGCCCCAGCAGCGCCCCCAAAACTGTGTCTGAGGGGGGGGAGGGACACTCCTGGGGAAGGGGGGACACGTGTTGTGGGTGTTCCCCTGACCCCTTGTTGCCCCCAAACATGGGGGTCCCTCCCAAAGCTCTGGCTCCCCCCAAAGCTCTGGCTCCCCCCGAACCCCTGGTGTTCCTCCAAGACCCTCTAGGTCCCCCTAATCCCTTGGGTCACCCCAAAAATGCAGGTCCTCCCAAAACCCTGGGAATCCCCAGACCCACAGGTATCCCCAAAACCCCTGGGATCCCCAAACCCCTGGTTTCTGCTCCACAACCCCTCATTCTCCCCCCAACACCTTATTCCCACGAAACCCCTCCTGATCCCTGGTTGCCCCCCACCTGGTGCCGCCGGATCTGGGCCTCCACAAAGGCGTCACGGCGCTGGACAAGCCGCAGCAGCTCCCGCAGCCCCGGGTTGGGTAGGGCCTGGGCAAAGGGACCCCATAGAGACCCCCTGACCTCCGAGAGACACTCCCTCCCCCAGAGATGCCCCATAACTCCCCTCAGCCCCAGAAAAACCCTATGCATGGTCCCCTGGGCCATACAGACCCTATAGGTGCCCCTCCAACCATATAAACTCACCTGAGTTCCTATAGGCACCCCCAGCTCCACAGAGACCTTTACCCCACACACATCCTCCATATAGACCACCCCAGTCCTATAGAGCCCCCATAACTGCCCCTCCCAGCCTCGCAGTGCTCCCCAACAAACACCATATAGACCCTGTAACACCCTCCCCAGCTCCATATAGACACTATAACACCCCTCCCAGCCCCACGTTCCTTCACACAGATCCACATCCCCCTCAGCCCCACAGAGACCCTATTATACGCCTCCCAGGGCCATACAGCCTCTCCCCAGCGCCATAAAGACCACCCAAGCCCCATATGGATCCTGTATGCCCCCTGCCAGCCCCACATACCCTCCCCCAGCCCCATATAGAACCTGTGACACCTCCCAGCCCCATAGCCC